TCTGTCCAATGGCGCTTTACAAATTACAATTAAGCACTAAAAATAACGTCAGATGTTTTATTCATCACACACACAAATTCTTAACCAAATTTTATTTGTCTACTATTTTGTTCTGGATTTTAATTCTCTTAAKAATTTTTCAGGAAATAATACAGTTAAAATGTCGATGTGTAGAAAAATTTATTTCACTGGTATTGATAGAATATGAATTAAATCATTCAGCATGTCACATTGAATGCATTAAGGAAACTCAGAAAATAAAATCTGAGTTCCTGATAGAAATGGAAACCATGGCATTGTGTATTCTAGCCACATGCTCTATCTGTTATTTGCTATCTTTCCAAGTTTCCAAATCCTCACTTTTGCTKTGACATGCTGAATAATTTTATTTTCCAGGTTTCTTACTTGAGSCATCCAGAACAACCATGTTGGTTGGTAATGTAATGACCTGTTCTTTAGGTGATATATCTGCACGGGGTGGCTTGTTTACTCTGGGAACTAATGAAAGGAAACATTTGTCACATGCTTGTACTAACAAATGAGCAGACGATGATGGTATAATTATGTCTTATCATGGAAGTACTGCAAGATACGTGGCTAATTGTTTACTGTGGGAGTTTTAACAATGGAAAAAGAAATGTCAGTTGCTACAGGTATCGCTAACAAATAGGTAGCATACAAGTATATTTGTTTCTGTAATTGGGAGTAGTGCGAGATTAGTACTGACTTATACACGTACCATATAATTATAAGTGTGATATATAGTACTCGAACACCAAAAAAAAGCTTCTCTTACTACAGTATAGGATTTTTCTGGTTATGAGCACACAGTGTTCCAGTCTGATTCCTTATTACAGCAACTTGAATATATTCCATTATCTTTTGCATTACCATATTGTTATCTAGTATGCATGGTGATTTGCCACATGCAAAATCCATTTGATATGCAACTGACTAACCCTTACCTGGACGGACTGTAACATTAACAAATGCAAAACCAAAAGCACCATTCTTTGTTGCTTTTACAGTAACTTTAAACTGATAAACACCAACATGACTTAACTGTTGAGAAAGAAGTAATAGAGAAATAGCATGAAAAATTCGGATGTAAATAATGTGTATGAGAAAGTGAGAGCTTTTTCATTCTTTTCTTTCCCCACTCTACTTTCACGCCCATTATGGCATACTTTTATGACATACTTTTACAGTGCAACTTGCAACTTTAATGTATTCACATACTTCTATGCACAGGTACTGTATGTTAAATCAATACATTGTGAAGCTGGCTCGTTTTACCTAGTAAGGCATGCAAATGCTCCATTGCCAGGAAAAAGTCCATGCATAGGAGTATGCAAATACATTAAAAGTCATACGTGTTGTGCTGTAATATTCCAGTATATTCCCAAACAATCTATGAGCAGGTTTTACCCAGGAAGGTGTGATTTTAGGTAATACCTTRGTCAAAAGAACTCTCTTGGTATCTTTACCCTCCATGTAACCATGACTGCCTTGTGGAGCTGAAATCTGTTGCCAATGATAGGTGTATACATTGCCTGAATAAGTAAAGGCAAAAAAACCAGTTTCATTAAGGCACAAAACTAACACACTAAACTAAATATATTGATCATTGGTCTAAAGTCAATTGGCTTGTGTCTCCTGGTCATAAAGTACACAATTACTCTGTGCTAAATATACAGTAGGGTATGCCATTTTTTTATTACTGGTACAGTACTGCGGTTTCTGATATTCTACAAACTCAGATATTTCAAAGGCTTGATGTGAAATTGGTTCTTTACTGCTACCTTTTATGTTCTTTACTGCTGTCAAGAACATAAAAGGTATTGACTGATTATTTTTGACTGATGGCATCCAAAAAACAAAGTTTCAGCATGCAGCTTGTAACAACTGAGTTCTCAAAAATATCAAAAATTGCAGTTGATAGCTCTTACTAATAAAGTCATAATAGTACTTGAAATGTTCACTTTTTTTTTAATACAGTACCTGGAGACTCCCTTGGGAATGCACTTGCATACAATTCAATATTGTTGGCCGGTAGAGTAAGGACCTTGTTATCTCCAGCTGACACTTGTAGTGTTGGTGCTAAAAGTACAAAACACAGAGATAAACATGAACATGTTTGCTAAAACATAGATCACAAGTTGTTAATTACATAATTTATAAATGATTCTAAATTCAACAAAAAAAAAAATCTCAAGTAAAATATTAATAGTACCTTCAGTTGGGAGTGGTGTCAAGTTGGCAGGAGCTTCTAATATTCAAAATGAAAATAATGATAAATATTAACTTAAATTAGCATAATCAGTGAACTGTATTATTGTCACAATCAGCGAACCACCCCCCTTCTCCTAAATTTTTTATTTCAATTACTGGTATAAACCTTTTCAGCTTGGTTGCAAGCCAGGTTTTCCCATTTTGGCCCCCTACTGTAGTCCTGGGCCTGTTAATGTTAATGAAKGGTGGATAGCACTATCTGATGGATAGATCCTTATTCAGTGCATACAAAGTCAATGCTGTTATCCAATAAATTTAACCACTGGATAGGATTTTTTCATTGGATAGCACTATTCATCCTTTGTACAATGGCCCCAGGAACCATTTCTTTGACTTCCGGGACTACTTGAGACAATACACAAAATAAATATGGAAACTGGTATTGGAACAGTTAACTCAAACAAAATAAACAAACAAACAAACAAATTATTCCCAAGAGAATGGCAAAAGGTAAAACCAGGAAGTTGGTGAGACATGGRAAATTTCATCGTTATGCCGAAGGTTTAATACAATCAATATTTTTGCCAGATGTGGGATGATAATGTCCGTAGGTTATGTTTACACAATAGTTAGACTATCTMTTTTGCTTCAGTGCATACTGTACCTGTTGCTGCTTTGGAAGTTGGAGATGCGTTAGTTGTTGTATTTGGACCAGACTGATCTAAAAATACATAATGAAAAATGGGAATTAAAATTATTTTTTTTCTAATTCTTTTTTCCACTCTTTCTTTTTCTTTCTTTTCATTTCTTTTTAAAATTACTTTTATGATTATGACTATATTTATAGAGCACTCTTTTGCATAAGGATATGTTCAAAGGTGCTTAATGAGTTATTAAGAAGAGRTACTGTATTTATTATATGAGGTGTAGGCACTGAGGGTGGTCAMTGCCAGGGTTTCTTTACGTCCTCAGTGGTTCTTTTRCTGTCTTACYTGGTACTGGTTTAGTTGGAGATGACAATGATGATGCATTAGATGATGTTACATCTTAAAAAAAGAAAGAAATATTTTAAAATATTCAAAAAATGAATTGGATATTACTAAATTAAGATATTGGAATTTTCAACAAAATTCTTTAAAATAATGTTTTATTACTAGATTAATATTATTAATAGAGGTTCCCCAAATTTACTCCACAAGTGATCATAAAAAAAGTTCCAAGCCCAGGTCGGACTTCATGCGTTCATTATTACATGTATGTTTACTGTAATCCCCATTTTCATCCATTGGATTCCTTGTCTTATTTAGTACAATCAAGTTGCTTTACTACAACATTATATAAGACTCGCTACTGACTGTATCAGCTTTTTAGAATGAAACTTACTTGCATCTAGTACTGGAGTTGTTTTATTAGTGATAGCTGATTTCTGTCTCTCAATTGGGCTGTTTGTGACCGCTAGGTTTGTTTCATCACCAGCATTAGATATATTAACAAATGTTGGTTGATATGTCTTTGACAATGGTAGGGGTGCATCATTTTCCAACTTCTTCAGGGAAAAAGGTATAAAAAAGGTAGAGTCAATTAAATGAAAAGAAAATGGAATTTAATGCAAGTTATAAACAGAATTAACAATTATATAAGTATTACAAAATCTAAGGATGTTGCATGTTATTGGCCAAAAGATTCCGTCATCAGTTTTTTTTTTTGCAATTTTGCCTGATGAAAGTACTGTACATTGTATAAAATAAGGGGATAAAAAATGGGAATAACCAGATTGGTTAAAATGAAAGTAGTAAACCTTTCCCAATTTCGCTTTATGAGTGACCACGAAACTATGGCCCCAAGTCGAACTGGTTGAACTTGATGTGTTTATGCATTTCCTGGATTTTATCAAAGTCTAGTAATGATTTGCAGCCACTGCTTGGAAAGGACTATACAGATGTGACCTGCTCACAAAATTACCTTCAAGCTTGAATTTGTAGGCTCTAACATGCCAAGTGACTCTTGCAATCCCAGCCCATGTCTTCTTGTAGAACCACTTGTAGGAGACTGTCCAGGATGATCCTTTTTAATATTTTCTATTTTTTCAACATCCTCTTTTTTAACTTCATCATCCTCATCGACCTTTGAAATTCTTGATTTTGATGGTAAGCTGGTAGGAACACTGGACATTCTAGAAATTTCTGCATTTTTATCATCATTTTTGGTAGTACCACTTTCCTTATTTGCAACTTGAGGCTCAGAAATTCCACTTGGTTTTGAAGCATCCAAGTCAGTTTTTTCATCCACTTTGCTATCAGATGAACTAATTTTATTCTTATTAGTAGTACTTATGAAAGAAGTTGGTGTCCCAGTTGGTGCTGAATCATCACTATTCTCATTGAGAGATTTACTGCTGTCTGTATGGCTATTCCCAATGTTTTCATTTGATGTTTCTGTATCAAGGTCTTTATCATCRTTATATTTGTCATTAATTCGTTCCTTTCCCATCACTGTGGTTGGCGTCCTAGTTGGAGCTACATTACCCCTATCCACATCAGGAATTTTACTGCTCTGTACATCGCTAGATTTCCCAATGTTCTCATTAGATGTTTCCGTATCAATGTCTTTATCATCACTACGTTTRTCATTAATTTGCTCTTTTTCCGTCACTGTAGCCTTATTGTTGCTATTTGACATTGTGTTATACGATTTTGTTATATCAGTGTCAGTACCAGCCTCATTCTGGTGCATTATGTTTGTATTTGCAATATTTTGATTTTCTTTCTCATCCTCATTCTCAGTTTTGTTATTATAATTTTCTTGCTTAAATAAATTTAAATCTTTTTCTTCAGCAGTTTTAGTTTCTAAATTATTTGGTTGTTCTTGAAGTTTACTATTAAGAATAGCTGCTGTTGATTGAGAAATTGTAGGCTTTTTTGGAAAGACTTGAAGAGAATCTGAAATTGAAAGGAAAGGGATCAATTGAAAGTAAACTTTACTGTATGGTACAGGGCCGTAAACAAGTGGGGTGCAGTGGTTCAAGCACAACCCCCYTGGTTACGGTCCTCTGGTAAGTTGTTGGTAATGGCCACTTCATTACTGGTTCTTCTTACCTGGAATATTCAGGCTAATACAGCCACTATTTCCAGGTGGCTGTGCTGAGGGCAGTGTTTTACAGTCTGGCAAAATCTTCCCATACCCGAGTCCATCTGCAGCTTCAAATTCTTGCTTACAAACTCCAGCAAACAACTGTTCACAGTCCTCACGGCAGAGATATGTTGGCTTTGGTTTAGTGCGATCTGAACAATATGGAAATGCATAATAACAAATTCCAGCTAATGCATACTGTTCACAAGTTGGGGAAATTCTTTTTTTCAGTAGAGATAATGGTCTTATGAGGCTTCTTTCGACAGACGGAGGGTACTGAGTAAAGTAGAGTAGTTTATTCTTAAGGTACTTTGTACACTGGGTGCCATGATAGWGATGACAGGACTCATGCCTAGAAATAAAATGAATTAAATTACAGTAATCTACCAATTCAAAATATTAATTTAATTCAAATATTTTCAATTAAATTAATATATTAAATTACATACATCACATATGATTAAAAACAAACTATATAAACTATAGCAACAAAAATATTTACAGTCAACTCTTGCCTTGCAGATGGTTGCAGATACCCTGATATCATGGAAAACTCACTTACAGACAGGAACAAAATTCCCAAAAGAAAATACTGACAAAGAAATGATCATAATTTATTCTCTCTCAAAATGACCGTTCCAAGCGTGTCCATTGTAACAAGAGTTGACTGTACCCCAGTACCAGAGTGGTAACTTTAGGAGAAYGATAGAAATGAAACATTAACTTATAGCCAGTTAACAGGCATATACAGTGTAATTTATTTTATATTAATTTTCATATTTTTTAATAATCTTTTTAAAATGTTTATCAATGGCTGGCACTTGACAGATGGTTATTTTGATAATTAGATTTCAATCATACTGGTATTATTATTTTTAAATCTTGTATTTTAAATTATTTTTTATGCCATCTGCCTTTATGATTTTTAATATTTAATTCAAATTTAAATTTTGCCAGATCTAATGTTTTTTAATGTGTTTTAGGATTTATTAATTTAATTCTTTTGTTACCTCTTTTYTCTTATAAGAGGTCTATTTGGGTCATCTCTCAAGAAAGTACTGCAAAGTAAAGATCAGTAAAGTCATGATAAATTCCTAAGTTTAAGTTTATAGTTAAATCTAGTGCATCTTGATATTTAAATATTTGAAGGGAAATTTTAGAATAATTATCATTGCTAATATCACCACCACAAAGTATGTACAGCAGTGGTGTAGCTCAACAGTGCCAAACTGAAAGCTGTGATGTGAACATGTGTGAAGGCACCTCTGACAGCTGCTATAGTTCATGTACTTTTATGATCCTGGAGCACAGCTCTACCAGTTTAAATTAGTTAGGGTTGAAAAAAAAMAACAAMAAAAACCAGTTTATTAAACAATCTGTCTTTCAAAATAACTGTTATAAATCTCATGTGCTATAACACACATCATGCTTCTCCAAACCCTTCTCAAGCTTTCTGCCAACYTTCACATTCTTTATAGAGCATTTGTATTACTTTTAATAGATGTTTAGAAGAGAGCCTACTGCTGCATAAATCTAAAAACTCAGATTAAAGTACACATTTTCATTGAAATTAGACATTATACTCATCAATAACTCTGATATTGAACATTGATTTAAAAATCCAGGACTTTTTAACAAAATATATATTGTTAAGGAATATACATACATTAAAATGAAAGAGAATAATGATTATAATAATYCTGGTAACCAATCCATCCTATACTTACCCATTTGTTTTAGGAGTTTTTCCTGAAAAAAAAGGAAAGAAAAATATTAAAGATTTTATGATAATGWTTTTCCTTCCTATACAACTGTGTGGGGAAAATTTAAGAACATAGAGAAATAAGACAAATTTAAAACAAACAAAAATAACATTGATCAGTTTTCTTGGACATGACCACTTGGCTGAATAAATGATGTTTTGACATACAGTAGAAACTGACAAAGTATGTTGCAGGGAAGGTAAAACACAAGTAAAACCCCACAAGTGCAGCAAGTATTGCAAAAATCTCAAAAATGTAAACAAAATAAAAAACATTCTGCATATATGCTGCACCTGTGTCTGGATGCTTTTTCCAGGCATTGTATTACACCCATTGTCATAATGATACAACCGACGCAATCCAATTTTTTTTAGATCTTTACATGTAGCTTCACTCAATCAAAAATATACAAATATTTTCAAAATTTTGGAAATTTGATTGACTGAAGCCAAAACCCCATAAGTCTGAAATTATAGCTAGTTTTCTGGGCTATATACATGTAATCATGAAAATGGGTTTACAAAAAGTGACGACTATTTCCAACAATATTCTCCATTTTCTCTCTAAGTGCATATATTTTTGGACAATACCAAAGACCATACCCATCAAAAAGAGCATTTTCAACATGGACAGCAAAAATACCTAYGATATTTAATCATTTGTAAGTTAAAAAAAAAAATCTCTTTATTGAAGTGTCTAGTCATTCTAGCACTTTTGCATTAATTGGAGACACTTTTCACTCACACDCACTACCACTACATTCAGTGTTCTATGCACACAACCCTCAACTCGCATGCCCATTTTTTACRGAGGGAGGAAACCGGAGAAMTTGGAGAAAACTCTCGTAGCATAGGAGAGAACAACACATCAAACAAACTCAATTCACATGAGGACTGCAGTGCTTGAACCAGAGACCCAACCCATTGAACTCACAGCGGTGAAAGATACGTATTATTCAGCATTCCTAAGGAGTCCTTCTGTTAATACAGCAACTGCCTAATTTCCAATTACTCATAACATTTTATTTTCTTTATGCTATTTGACCAACACTTATTTCAAAGTATTTTTTCTTAGTCACCCCAACAAATTTGGGGAAAATATTTTTCTTTGAAGTGAAAGAGAAACATCAAGCTTCCTACAAATGAATCCTTGTCCCATAAAATATCTTCCTCAAAACTATAGTTTCCAACTTCTGATACACAATTTATAGTAACTTTCATAGTATATGAGACTGAAAATCAGTGTGGTATTAACTGTATCATTGGATTATACAGTACATTTATTGACCTGAGAAGGGAAAGGCCAATAGATAATGCATTCATCCATAACACAGCTAGACTTGTGTTTAAACAGCGGATGCTATTTAAAACTAGATCTTATTGTCTTGTAAATTTACATCATAAGCAATTAAGCTGTTGTTTAAAGAATATTTCTTAAAGATCTTTATATATATGTGGAAAATGAGATAATTACTTTCTAAAGAGAGTCTAAATGTATTAGCGCACTGTTAGATATCTAATCGTGGCAAAATCAATGGGATAAATTATTAATGATTGGTAGAGAAAGGTTTAAAATCCTAAACCGCAAGGCAAACGAGACCATTCGAAATAAATTATCTAAAATCATGAATAAAAATGAATGCAAACATGAAATTTATCGTGTTTTTAAATATTTAAAGTGGAAGGACGAAGGAATTGAATGCCTCTTGAAGTATGGGAATGGAAGGAACAAAAGATAATACGAATCAAAACATCGGTAACAAAAGAATATGGTAAGCAAATGGAGCGTAATACGAACGCGTAGAAACGACACTTTGCTACACAGAAATTTATAGAGTGAAGAATTTAGCGTCATAAGATTTAAAGTGTTCACTGAATTATTTTTCGCTTGACTAGGGTCACAAGTTTAGATTTCAAATCTTGAGCCTTCGAAATTGATTGACGAAAGGGGCAAAAGACGAAATCCGAGAATCGAATATAATTATTATAATTTATGACTCGAATAAAAAAGTCTGTTGAGCGGTAAATCGAAAATTTAGGAGTTTAAAGGACTTACCTTTTATAGGCTTTTGAAAAATACTCATGCCATATTTTTGAGATGTTTTCAAAGCAGGCACGGGTTTGCAAGCATCTGAGTTTCTACAATCAACAGTGTAGCAAGCTTTGAGTTTGCCCACAAATAACGCAGTTTTACAGTCTCTATCGTCACAGCAATATTCCACACACTTTGTGACATCGTCCGTTCGTCCAAGCTTGTTAAAAAGGCCTGCCTCTTTGCCATCTTTTAGAGAATGTCCCTCAAACAGTTCACCACAACCAAGGCTACGAACTCTCGAACATCCCCCATCTGCAACAACGAAAAATTACTTTAGGGTTTTGTCGAACCGCATAAGACTCGAAGAACAAATATATGAAAGCACAAATAAACGTATAATACGTACAGCGAGCTAGAAGAAGGGTTAATAATATAAAAAGTTCAAAGAGAAACCCTTTTCTCCAAGAACTTTTGCAGAGATTCCAAAACATAGGTGCTATCATCTCATCCTCTTCAGCAAGTATAAAGCCCAAATCCAATCAACCTTGAGCCACTCAGGTACTCAAAACTCCTCTCCGCTAAAACAAATGACGTTAATATATCTCCATGAAGTAAATTTTGACTTCGATTTCAATAGATAATGCTGTAACAGGTTGGTAAAGTGGATTCCATAAACTTTAACCGTCCGCCATGTTTGGTGTCGCTCTGTTGATAGGATTGAGGAGGAAGTGACGTAATGATCAACATACGGGACATTTAGGATAGGAGGCTTTGTTGTAATCAGCTGATTCAGCGGTTGTTTCCGGTTTCCCGTTACCCGCRAAAATCCCGATCGTTTCCCCCCGTCCCGTATGTTTAGAAATTTGAAAATAAATTAAATTTGATGACGCTGAATTAATTTTGCCACGATTAGATATCTAACAGTGCACTAATCCATTTAAAATCTCTGCTGAGGAGACTAAGGAAGAGGAAGAGGAGGAGGAGGAGAAAAAGAGAAAAGAGAAAAATGTGATAAGCAACTAAGCAACTCCACTATCTGGTTCCCGCTTCAGAAAATTGTAAAGAAAGAAAGGTGGAAAGGATAAATAGATGCATTTGTCAGATAACATGAAAGAATGAATACAAGGATGGATGGACGGATGGATTGAATAGATGAAAAGATTGATAGAAGGATGGATGGATGGATGGATGGATGGATGGATGGATGGATGGATGGATGGATGGATGGATGGATGGATGGATAGATGTATTTAAATGCTTCAAACTGGATGGACGGATGGA